GAGAATGCACCCTGCTTTTAGGAGGAATTTTTTTTATAGCTGTTCTTCTTACAATGCCCTCTTAGTAAGTGCCTTTGCTTCGAGCAAATTTGTTTACCTGCTGACAAGAAAGAAGCACACTGGTGGGGGCTCATGAAATATAGTTTTAGAGTGGGTACTGTAGTAATTTTCAGAAATATTTTATATAGAAATTCAAGTTAAACAAAAGGTCGTGTTTGTTTTCCACTATAGTAGTAATCACTGACTGAACTTGATCACTGGAACTCCTTTATTTGTTAACACCCAAGGTACCAAGTCATTGACCAACCATAGTTGCCCACCGATCAGTTACCTAGCTGCCGAGCAACTGCCTGTGTGACCTACGTGATCCTCGAGGTTACACACCTAAAGGTGATCTAAATAAAAGTTACTATTCTAGTTGACCTAGTAGAGTCTCTATCCAGATCAAGCTCACGATGCTTAAAGTTTTGCCATACAGGCAGCAGCTTAGCCAGTCTGCAAAATGAGGAGACTGATCTAAATGGTTTCTGAGTTAGAAAGCTCTAGACCTATGACCCTGTCATTAAATAGGCGGCTGATTCAAACATCTGTTTTTCCTCTAGCTATGAAAATGCAACACAGATATGCATGATTTATCTATCAGTCAACAAACATGTATTAATAAAAGCTTATTTTTTTCAGGCACTGTGGATACAGACAGTAACTGTCCCTGTCTGTAAGCAGTTTATGTTCTACAAGGAGAGTAAATGTGTACATTTAAGTGTATATAACATATATGTGTATATATGTGTGTTTTTATTGTGTGTGTATATATACAGTGTGTGTGTATATATACAGTCATTTCAGTCACGTCCAACTCTCCATGACCCATTTGGGGTTTTCTTTGAAAAGACACTGGAGTGGTTTGCCATTTCCTTCTCCAGCTCATTTTACAGATGAGCAAACTAAGGCAAACATGATCAAGTGACTTCCCCAGGGTCACACAGCTAGTAAGTGTCTGAAGCTGGATTTGGACTCAGATCTTACTGACCTCAGGCCCAGCATTCTACCTTCCATGTCACCTATCAACAACAACAACATTTTTGAAAGGAGGCATTATCTGCTAGTGAAATCTGGATTTCAGAGACTCAGGATTTTTTTTTCTTGCTTTTTGGTGAGGCAGTCAGGTTTAAGTGACTTGCCCAGAGTCACACAACTAGTAAGTATCAAGTGTCTGAGACCAGATTTGAACTCAGGTCCTCCTGACTCTAAGGCCAGAACTCTGTCCACTGCACCACCTAGCTGCCCCAGAAACTCAGGATTCTAAGCGATACTGGAAAGAAGGTCAGTTTGGTTGGACCATAGAGTGTGTAAAGGAGAATAGTATATAAATCTAGAAAGATATGTTGGAGCCTGGTTGTGAAGAGGAGTATATATTTGATCCTTGAGATGACAGGAGCCACTGGAATTTGTTGAGTAGAGAAGATACATAGTGAGTCCTTTTATAGAAAAAATCTTTTTGGTGGCTATGTAGAGGATGAATTGGGGTGGGGAGAAACTTAAGGCAAGAAGATGGATTAGGAAGCTATTGCAGTTGTCAAAGTGAAAGGTGATAAAGGCTTGATCTAAGGTTGTAGCTATGGCAATAACATGATATACACAAGAGATATTGTGGAGATAGAAGCATGATTTGGCTGCTGATTGGCTATCTGAGGTGAGGGAGAGTGAGGATTCAGGATGACATTTAGGTTTTGAGCCTGGGTAACTGGAAGGAAAGGTGATAGTGCCCTTGACAGACACAGAAGTTAGGCAGAGGGTTGTTAGGGGAGTTAGGTTGATATACTGGTAACATATTAATATGAGTTCATAACTAGTTCATTGTGAACCATCACATTTATTTGAACCCATTTTGGGTGCTTTAAAATATGATTTCTAAAATGTTCTATCCTTGACCTTGTTTTATTTTTGGGGTTGCTAGCAGTTTTTATGCGTATACATTTGAAAACTGCTTACTGTGATTCAATAAAAAGTTCTTAATACAAGAAACACAAGCAAAATATATAAACCTAAATGAAGAAAGACATGATAGTGGTAACTTGAATAATGAGTAGATAAAGAAAAAATCATAGAAGTAGCTTTTATGTTATATCATATATTATATGAAAATGTTAACAATGGTAATATTCTTGAGATGCCACTAAATCATCCAAAGAAGAAAAATAACATCTCAGAAAACATAATGAATAGAGCAGAGGATTGAAAAATAGAAAAATCAATAAATGAATGAGTGCCTCTCCAAAAAACAAAAAAAATCCTGAAAATTAGATGAGAAGTAGGAAAACAAAAAGAATATGGATTAATAAAGCTAAAAATTTGTTCTATGCGAAGGCTAATAAAATCAATAAAGCCTTAGCTGTTCTGATGAAAAAGAAGAGGAAGGAAAACCCAATTATCATTTTAAAAAATTAACAAGGAACATTTACAATGGAGAAGAAAGAGAATTTTCAGAACCTACTATATTATTATATGTCAGCAAAACAGAAATGAAAAGAAATGGAGGATTTCCTATACGAATATTAAATACCCAAGTGAATAGAACAGGAAATAACAGTTCCTAAACAAGCTGATCTCAAAAAAAAAAAAAATTTAAATTCCTGTAAAGGAGCTTCCAAAGGGAGTTAGGGAGCAAGTGGAGACAACCTGATCCTGATGGATTTAGAGAAGGAGCCTAATAAGGAACTAAATACTGTATAAAAGAATATGTAATTAAATATAAAGGAATATGAAGGAATAGTTAATAAACTATGATACACAAATCATTCTCTCAAAAATTGAGAAAGAAGACACTCTAATGCCTGAACCAGGGACAGATAAAACAACAAAAGAAGAGAACTAAAGTCCAATACCACTAATGAAAATATTAATGAAAATGTTCTAAACGAAATCCTAACAAAAAGATTATAGTAATATATTTTTAGAATTATTTACTGTGACCAAATTAATTTATTCCAAGGTATAAGAATGGTTCAACATTAGGAAAGCAATTAACATAATCATATTAAAAACAAAAACATCCAAACTACATGATTATATCATTAGGCTTAGGGAAAAAAACCCAAAAACTTTTAGCAAAGTTCAACACTTATTTATGTTTAGGAAAAAAAACAACCTACAAACAAAAACCATAGAAGGGCCATTTTTATCTTAGTTTTGGAAGCAATTGAGATTAAATGACTTGCCCAGGGTCACACAGCTAATAAGTGTCTGAGGCAAAATTTGAACTCAGGTCTTCCTGACTCAAGGACCAGTGCTCTATCCACTGCACCAACTAGCTGCCACTAGAAGGACTATTTTTAATGTGATAAAAAGTATATATCTAAAATCCAGAGTTAGCATTATTCACATCAGGATCACAGAATCATACACAGGAACATAGATTTAGACTGAGAAGAGAATTTAGAGATTATCTAATCTAACTCCCTTATTTTTGAGGGAAATGAGGCCCATAAAAGTTAAGTGACTTTCTCAGTGACAGAGATGAAATTTGAACTCAGGCCTTGTGATGCCAAATCTAGCACCCTTTACATTGTATCATGCTGAGGAAATACTAGAAGACTCCCAAATAAATGGACAGATAAAGTAAGGAGGCCTCTTTTCTTGGCTGTTGATAGGTGTTAGAAATAATAAAACAATAAGAGAAGAGAAAGAAAAATTTAAAAAAACTATAAAAATAGGCAGAGACAAAAGTATTCCTATCTACTGATGATGTAATGGTTTACTTAAGAAAGCCTACATAACCAGCAAAGAAACTGATTGAGATAATTAATGGTTTTGGTAGGATATCAAATAGATCTATAAAATTAACAGCATTTCTATATAATGACTATACTGAAAACAGTGGGAAATTATGCAAAAAGGGGAGATTAAAATGTTCATACTCCTTTGACCCAGAAATCACACTGCTAGACATATGCCCCAAAACAAAATGTTCATTTTAGCACTTTTTTAGAAGCAAAGAATTGTAAAAAGTAGATGCCTGTCAACTAGGGCAACAACTAAACAGATTTTGCTTCATAAATGTAATATAGACTCTTACTATGCTATAAAAATGATGAATATGAAGAAGTAAGAGAAGCATGAAAAAAATATGAACTAATATAGAGTGAAATAAGGAGACTCTAGGAAATGGTATAGGCAGTGGCTATAACAGAAGAGATGGAAAGAACTAAAAACAAAAACCCTGAAAGTGAACACTATGTCATTATAATGGCACTAGATAGATGGAATAGATGGAAAGAACTGAAAACAAAAACAAAAACCTGAAACTGAGCACTGTGTCATTATAATGGCACTACTTGGTCCCAGAGAAGAGTTGAGAACATATACTTCCCTCTTTTCATTGTATACGTGAGCACTATGGGTGTGGAACATTGCATGTATAGTCAGATTTGGTTGATATGTTGGTTTGTTTTGTTGAATTGCCTTTTTAGATCTTTGTTTTTTATTCCTTTTTATAAGAATGACTTAATTTGTATGGATGAAAGGGGTATTTGGAAATGTAGCAGATGTAAAAGCAAAAGATATCAATATCAATAAAGATATCAATAAAAATGAAAAGCAAATAAAACAAATGCTAACTCCCAAAGTTTATTGAAGAAATGATAGGCAGAGAGAACATCTTATTATTCATGGGATTTGCCAGCTAGATGGCACAGAGGAGAAAATGCTGGACCTGGAGTCAAAGAGACCTGAGTTCAAATTCAGCCTCACTTACTTACTAGCTGTGTGACCCTGGGCAAGTCACTTAACCAGTATGTCTCAGTTTTGCCATCTGTAAAGTGGTGATAATAATAGCACCTACCATCCAGTGTTGTTATGAAGATCAAATGAAATAATATTTGTAAAGTACTTTGCAAACCTTAGAGCTATTGTTATTTCTAAGCACACTCACATATAAACATATTTTCCAAAAATGCTGGTGTACCAATTCATTTGGGTTAATTGCATTTTTTTTCCCATAGCCACCCATGGGACACTGTCATCAAAGCTGCTATGAGAAAATACCCAAATCCAATGAACCCTTGTGTAGTAGGAGTGGATGTATTAGACAGGAGCCTTGATAACCGAGGCAGGTTACATAGCCATCGTCTTCTCAGTACTGAGTGGGGACTCCCAGCTCTCGTGAAAGCGGTAAGTTCTCACATGGAATTATTCTCTTTTTTTAATAGCTTTCTTTGTCATTGTCCTTGTTTCAGAGCTGTAAGTTGTCTGTTAAACAGTTAAGAACGTTATATTATCTCGATATAAATCCTGCTCTCAAGTATTTGCTGCTTTTTGGATATTGACACATTGGCCTTCTCTCTGTGAGTTTCCATCATGCATTTTTCCAACACTCAAAGGTTTTTGTCTTTCAGGTCTTGGGAACCAATAGGACTTTGACATATATTAAAGAGCATTCTGTTGTAGATCCAGTAGGAAAGAGAATGGAGTTGTGTTCTACCAATGTAAGTTAATAAACTGAGTTTGGAAAGGATCTTAATTTTTTGTAGAATAAAGTTTATAATTTTATTTCCAAAACGCTCTCAAAGTTTTGACCTAAGAAGGTTTTTTCTTCTTAGTGAACAGACTAGAGATATTCATAAGTATTTTTACAGCTACTTTTTGTTATTTCACTTTTTAAAAACAGTGGCCTTATATATCTTCTGACCAAAAGCATGAGGAAAGTGCATGAGCTTGGCTTGCAGTTATTTATTTATTTCTGAAAAAGCAGAAAAAAAATGACTGTATCCCAACTTTTGGACCAAGCATGAAAAGTGCACATCTTTATAGGAGTATTGAATTTAAGAATACTATAGATAAAATTAGTAATTTTAGAGGATCTTATTAACCTTTATAGTCTGATAGTTCCAAGTATAGTAATTGTAGATTACAGAATCTCTGAATCTCAGAATTGGAAGGGGCCTCCAAAGCCATCTTGTCCAATCCATACATGAACAAGAATCTCCTTTACATTCCTGCCCTGTCTTTTGCTTGAAAGTTTCTAGTGAGGGTCAGGTAGGTGGCACAGTATTAGAGCACTGGCCCTGGAATCAGGAGGATCTGAGTTCAAATCTGGCCTCTAACACTCACTATCTGTGTGACTCTGGGCAAGTCACTTAACCCCAATTGCCTCACCAAAAAAAAAAAGTTTCTAGTGAGCGGGAACCCACTAATTCTCAAGAAAACCCATTTCACTTTAGGATAGCATTAATTGTTAAGAAGTCTCCTCATCTGTCAAACTAAATTTACTTCTCAGCCACTTCTAGTCTTTGCTCCTTTTTCTTCCTTCTGGGGTCAAACAGACCAAATCTAATCCCTCATTCAGAAAACAGTTCTTAAAGACAGCCCTCATGTCCCCCACCTAACTTTTTTTTCCCAATTAAATATTACCAGTTCTTTTTACCAGCTCCTCATGTAGTATAGTCTCAAGACCCTGCACCATCCTGGTCACTCTCCTTTAGATGATCTTTAATTATCAAGCACTGGACTTAGTAAAAGTTGGATTGAAGTCTTGTCTCTGACACTGATTGGCTGTATGACCATGGGCAAGTCAATTAACCTTTTTTGAGTGTTATTTTCCTCATCTGTAAAATTAGGATGATAATACCCATTAGGTGAGAGGCAATGTGGTTTAGCAAATAGAGTCAATCTCAAAGCCAAAGGGTCTTGGGTTCAAATTTCCCCTCTGACATATAGTGGCTATAAGATTCTGGACAATTCACTCAACTTTTTAGTGCTCCCAGGCAGCTCTCTTAAGTTGCAAAAAATATGCCAACTTTATTGGTAGAGGGAGTTTTCTCATTTGGGAAGTCCTTATACCAGTGAAGCAGCAAATCCAGGCCTATGCCTGTCCTTAGTAACTACAGTATTTAACTCATAGGGTTTATTGCGTGACTTATAAGAGCTAATGTATACAAAGCACCTTATAGCCTTAAATTCCTGTATAAATATTACTGTCATCATCATTTATCCTCAGCTTCATCAGTGTCCTTCCTAAAATGTGGTACCAAGTATTGAATATAATCTTCCAGATGTGGAATGAATATGACAGAGTGTGGTAGCACTTTCACCTCCTCAAGTCCTGGAAACTGTGTCTTTCTTAATGTATCCTACAGTCAATTTGCTTCTTTGCCTATCATGTCAACTGATCTTACCACTACATTAAATCCCCAAATCTTTTCCAGCTAAACTGCTACGTAGCTCTGTTTCTCCCATCTTGTCCTTTTGAAGTTGGGCATTTTTCCCCCAGTAGCTATATAAAACTTTATAAACACTGAGCTCTATTAATTTTTTTCTTATTATATTTGACTCAGTGTTCTAGTCTGTCAAAGTCTTTCTGGCCTCTGACTTTGTCATCTAGCGTGTTAGTGATCCCTCCTACCTTTGTTTCATCTGGTGGCTTGATAATCGTGCCATCTATGCCTTTATTCAAGTCCCTGATCAAAATGTTTTTTATAAAATAATTTTTATTTTTTGTTGCTCTGAACTTAGCAAACACCAACAAATGTGAACATTTCCGTACACAAAGAAGAATAGAAAGAGGATTATATATGAAATCATGAATCTCTTTTATGAGCATTTTGCTTTATTTTTAAAGTGTGTAATAAATTGGTTTCATAACTGTTCTGCTTGTCAGTGTCTCCCTCTGAAGTTCCTTCTGTTCTCTTCTGTGAATTAAGATATATTTCACTGACTTTCTTTTCTTTAATTTCTCCCTTTTTTGGTCATTAATATTGATAGTTCCCTTCTTCTCCCTCAATCCTCCCCCCCTCCCCCTGGGGAAAAAAAAGCACTAAAAAAATAAACAGAACAGATTCAAGGACAAATTCCAATTGAGAACTTCTTCCAAGTTTATATCCAACCATTATTGATTACTTGTTGGGTCTGGTCTAGCTCACATTACTCTATCTTGTCCACAAGAAAAATATGAGCAACTTTGTCAATACTTTGCTAAAATTCTAGGTAAATTTTGTCTATAGCATGTCCTTCATCTTCCAATCTGGTAACTATCAGGAAAAATGAGGAAATGAGATTAGTCTGGCATGACCTATGCATGATAAATCCAGGCTGGCTTCTTATAACTATCTCTTACTTTTCTAGATGTTTAACAGTTTTCCATTTTATAGTAGATTATAGAGTTTTGCCAGGCATCAAAGTTAATAAACTATACTTTATGAGCATTCCTCTTTTCCATTTTTTTGAAAACTAGGTCATTTGTTCTTTTATCCTGTGGCACCTCTTTAGCTCTCTGTGAACCTTCAAATCTCACTGAAAGTAGCTGGGCAGTCATGGCTCAGCTAGACCTAGTGATCTGAACTCCTCAGGGGCAGGTCAGTGTTCTCTCACTATCTTCCCAGTTATCATGGTTTCACGTTCCTTGTAGTCATTTTTATTCTGCCCTTTCTAGTCCAAAAGTTGTTCTTGGCAGAGGAAACAAAAAAAATTCATAGTTCTGCCTTCTCTCTGTTGTTATCCTTCCATCAACAGTGAGCACTCTTGCTATCCCTTCTTTGATGTTACTTTTTTCCCCAGTATAGAAAATAAAAACCAGATTTTGTAGTTCTTAGATTTCCTCACTCTTAGCCAAACTTTAGCTCTCCTTATATTGTCATTCCTTTGTATTCATCCTCCATTTCATTCCCTAGCTTAAGTCTACTTTATGTCTTTTCAGAGTCTGAGTTGGTTAGTGAGTTCCTTGAGCATATACATTAGTCTTTTTAGACAACTGTCCTTTTTCCTCTTCATCAGAATTTTATATTTGCATCTTCAGAATTTCATTTTTGAGTACTTCCTGTCCATGTGACAATTCTAAGCTCCCCAGAAAGAGATTTCAGACCTGGCTCTTTTCCTCGAGAGGTTGCTTTTGATTTTCTTAGGGCTGTGGAGTCCCTTAATTACAGGTTGTATATGGCCTCAGCACTGCCAGGAACTTGTGCTACTTTTGATCTCTTTTGAAAATGAGATGTGGAGTTGGCATTAAGGGAGTTACAAAGCTCATAAAGCTATCAAGTTCCAAAGCTTTAGTTTTTCAGGCTATCATTAATGGAAAGTTTTGCATAAGTAGTTGGTAAATCTTGACTTTGCTGATACAAAGCTTAAGTTACTTTTAAAATGTAGCTATCATCCCAATGTCACATGCTTTGTTTATAGACCTGAAACACTCTCTTGAGCTCCTGGGGAGCAGTTGTATCACAGAATGGATGTTTTGGATATATGTAGTGAAAAAATAGCTAACTCATTTCCTTGAGAACTAACTGAAGAATATGCTGTCCTTTTCCACAAGTGCTAGAACTGATTGGTTATAGTTTGGCAATATTCTGAAGGACAATGCCATTCTCAGGAGGGAAAATAAGAAAATGGAAGTCAACCACAAGGAACACCTAGGAAATAACATCCCCAGGGTTTTAGGGACTATTGGTACCAATGACTAGATGCTGCCTCTGTTCTGGTGTCAATAAGTACTGTTATTTAAAGTGACAGAGTGGGGCAGCTAGGTGGTGCAGTGGATAGAGCACCAGCCCTAAAGTCAGGAGGACCTGAGTTCAAATCCGGCCTCAGACCAAACACTTGACACTTACTAGCTGTGTGACCCTGGGCAAGTCACTTAACCCCAATTGCCTAAAAAGAAAAAAACAAACAAACAAAAAATAAAGTGACAGAGCATAGGCAGTTGATGAACTATGACTTGGGGAGAGCTGCAAAGAGGAATTTTAAAAATCGAAGTTTGCTGTTTGTTTTTTAAAGATCACACTCACAAATTTGGTGTTGGTGAATGAAAGATTGGTGTACACACCTCATCCTGACAACCCTGAAATGTAAGTAATCATCACTTAACTTTTGCAAATCAAATTTGGAGGGTGAGGACAGGGGAAGAAACATTGTCTCTTTGAATGCCAGTGAATTCTTCTTGGTTGTGTCCTCTTTAGGACGGTGCTGACACATGAAGCAGTCATCACTGTGAAGGGATTTAGCTTAGGCAGCTACTTGGAAAGCCTAATGGCAAACACCATATCGTCCAATGCACGGAAGGTATGTATTGCAAGCTCTAGGGCTGTGTGTACATATGTTGCTAAAATTCAAGATATGAAATATTTTAATCATTGTCCTCCTCTTGCACTAAGCTCCAAGAGGCACAATTCCCACCAAGCAAAGTTCTTGACAATACAATGAATGCCTTAGTTACTTTAAAAAACTGGTTGGGTGCCTGCATACCCAGTCTTAGGTGAGAGTATGTCAGTCAGTATAGAGGCCCAGCAAGCTTAGTGCCCTCAGCTCAAGTGTCAAGTAAACTGGGCAAACAAATCATACCAAATCAGCTTCTCCTGAAATGTTCCAGGCTCAGTGAATATTTCATTAACAAAGTCAAGAAGGACAGTATGGATTTCCAATAATTTCATATTTAATGCCATCAAGTGCATTCTGCTGAGTTTTTAGCTATGGTGATACGATTTCCTTAAGGACTCTGACCCCATTGAATCTTGATTTCAATGATGAAATGAGAGTAACGGTGGGCAGGAACCACAATTAGAACAGGACTGTTGAGGCAAAGGTGTGCTTTTCAGCACCAGGGTTGGAAAGGACAATGGAGGGGATCATAGTATGCCACTCATGGTCCCCTCTTTTTCTCCCATCCAGAAGCAAAGGCATATAGGAAAGATAGCTAGAAGTGGCTGTGAGAGTTGGCAGTGATTGAATCTCCTCCTACTTCTACCATATATGAGGTACTTTGAGCTCACTAGAAGAGATAAAACTTAGAAATCCAAGGTATTTTACTTAGTAGCTCAGGTCTCATGCTTTTAGTCTTGTCTTCTGGTCACTTCTCAGGCTTATTTAATTCTTTCCGTATAAAAATCATTATTTTCTTCTTTCAAGGGTTAATGAAATGTCAGTCATTATATTTTGTATTCACTCAGCGCTGAAGTCACAAACTAGTTGAAGACCATTGATCACATTAATACTAGGATGATAGAACATAGGTTTAGAGCTGGAAGGGACCTTTGAAGTTATCTAGTCCAACCCTGAGGCTCAGAGATGCTAGATTATTTATCTAGGGTTGTTGTTTGTCCTTCATTCTCGAAGAGGACCATGACATCATATAGGTGATGCCATGACATGCAAGTGAATTGGATTTAAATGAGGGAGGGCTGTGCAGAGTCACCAGCCTCACTTTCTCCTCCAGAGCCATTTGGGTCCACTGGCCAGATGTAGATCAGGTTGGCTGGACATGGTCCTGGATGCAGTGGGAGACCTTGGCCTTTTTAAGTTGAGATCTTTTCCAGGTCTCAGTTTGATTGAAGCACCACCTATCCAGTGATTAAGGATAGGTAAAAAAATGAGGCAAAAAATGGTCCTTTTTACCTAGTCAAAAAAAAAATCAGTCTGGGAGAGGAAGACCTTCAGAGTTTCTGGCTCAAACATAAAACAATTGCTATTTACATTCACTGTGAGCCAATCAGGGCCCAAACAATGACCAAGTGGGGCTTGACCTGGAACCTATTGTTGGCTAATCAATGAGAGCTAGAGTGATTTGGGTTTCAGGCATGGTCCTTAAGAAAGAAATCTAGCCAGTAAACCCCAAGATATCTTGTGAAGTTTGGGTGATCAAAGTTTACATTCCTTTGGGCAGAGTACCCACAGAAAAGGAATGAAGGGAGGAAGGAAGGAAGGAAGGAAGGAAGGAAGGAAAAAGGAAAAGAAGAGAAAGAGAGAGACAGAGAGCTGTTGCCCAACTGGCCAATTGTAGTTGGGTCCCCAGTGGAGCAACTCCTACTACTCACAGAGGTTGTTGTTTGTCCTTTGCTTTTGAAGAGGACCATGACATCAGGGAGGTGATGCCATGATATGCAAGTGAATTGGATTTAAGTGAGGGAGAGCTGTGCAAAGTTACCAGCCTCACTTTCTCCTCTAGAGTCATCCAGGTCCAATGGCCAGATATAGATAAGGATGACTGTACATGTCCCTGGATACAGTGGGACTGTCTAGAATTGCACAGGCAGTAAATGGGCAAAGCTAGACTTTGAATCTAGGTCTTCTGACTCTGAGTGCAGGTTTCTTTCCACTTCACTATACAGACTAATGAGTTTACTCTATTTTCAGAGAGATTAGAATTTGAGAAACTTAGGCAGTTTTAGGCAAGCTCTGTCCAGAGACTTTGGGAAATTACAATCAAAGGGTAGGCTTAAGCACTGTCCTTTGAACTTCAGAAAATGGATGCTAAGTTGTCTCTAATTCCATCCAGTTTTATTTTAGGACTTGCTGTATTGAAGCCTTGGTGCAGAAAATCTTTTTCTCATTTGGCAATTAAACTCAATGGTTGTACTGTTGTTTATTTTAACCATTTGACATAATGGTAATAATGGTTGTGTTTTATTTCCTTTAAGATGGGACAGTGAGAGGTTCTTAACCTGGGGTCGGTAAACTTGTTTTTTAAAAATTATTTTGATAATTGTATTTTAATACAATTGCTTTTCTTTGTGATACTATGCATTTTATTTTATGTATTTAAAAATCTTCTGAGAAAGGTTCCACAGACTTCATATACTGCCAAAGGGGTCCATAACACAGGAAAAGATTAAAAACCCCTGGTCTAGAAGATTGTTGACATATAACAGGGATGGAAAACTTGTGTTATGATGTAATTTTTAGTAGGATTCTAATCAGAGTCATGGAGAGGAGTAGGCACATGATTTGGAGATAGAGAACCTCCTCCAGAGCTCCACTCCACTTACCCATCCCTTCCCGTCTGGTACTGTGGGTTCCCATGTCTTGGCTCCTAGGAAAGCTGAGGGAACATTGTCCCCAGATCAGAGTATTGCCAATGGTTCCTATGCCAGTGACTTTCACTGGACTGGCTGTGCATGTCATAAGAGAGGTGGCTCCTTTATCTCCCCCAATCTCAAGGAAGTGAATGAAAATTCAGTTTGCTAATTAAGACCCCTGGTATATGAGATCTTGAACCTAACAGATAAGTCTGCTCACATAGGAAAGAATTTGTGAGTACCGAATGAACAGCATCTTGTTTGTGAACCCAAGGAATAATCTACAAATGTTAAAAATCTGCTGGGGAAAGTAGAGCCTTTACTGTTCATTCAACTGTTGTAGGCTTTTTCTCATTCTGGTATTTTTTTTTCTTTGCAGCTTTATTGCCAGTGCTCTAGAGTGATAGATGAAGAGTTTCTCACTCCATTTTGTAAATCTTTTCTGTGTTGCTCCAGGGGTGGGCTGCTATTGAGTGGATAATTCAAAATTCTGAAAGTGCTGTAAGCTAACTGCATCCACACCTACCATTTGGGATAAAAAGTGGTAACTACAGCATTCATTGACCCTGGTATAGCATCTTACCATTTTATTGAATGTGTGCATGGTATGTTGTTTGGAGGAAGGGGAAGTGGGAGGGAGGAGTTTAAAAATTCCTTTGCATGAACAATATAACACCATTCTCTTAGCATCCATATTCATACTGTAAGAAAGAGTTGAAAATCTGAGGTTCCAGGTTGCCGTTGTACCCAAGCAATTCCATTTACTAGAATATGGCCCAGGAAGTGCCTTATCTAGATGGGATGAGTTGACTTTTGGATCCCTTTAAACCCTGCTATAGCTCATTGGGAATTTAATTTGGGTCTTGACCTGTGGATCAAAGCAAGTACCCTGGAGTAAAATGCTGCTTTTTTATATCTTGAAAGCTGAAAAAGTAATCTGGTTCTTTAATGTTGAAGTTGGTTCCTGGATTGAGGGCAAATTTGTCAAGCAGTGTGAAATAGACATCAGGCTTACATGCTGCATTTTCTACTTGAAAGGCAGCAAGGTACAATGGAAGAAGACATCAGGAGAGCTCAGAGTGTGAATCCAATATTCTTCTCTACGTGACTGTGAGAAAGTTATTCACCATTTCTGAGCCTCTGTTTTCTCAACTGCAATGTGAGGCTAATAATACCCATAGTATTTCTTTCTCAGGGTTGTTGTGAGGATCCAGTGTTTATTAGCATAGTATTTGGCATATACTAGGTGCTTAATAAATGTTTATTGATTGATTGGCAAAAGTGAAATAATTTAGGTAAAATATTTGCAAAGATTAAAATGTTATGCAAATGTGAGTTATTTCATGACAAGATTTTATTTCCAGCTTCTAGTAGAAGCAATTAATTCTCTGAAAGTTGCCTTCAATTCTTACCTTCCATAACTATTCTTTTTAAAATTTTACATAATTCTAGGCAGAGTTACAAACTGATAAGGGAAAATTTTTCATTTTAGCTGAAATTTAAATGTTTATATACTTTAGCTTATAAACTTCATTTTAGGTTATTAGAGTAAGATTTCAGCAATGAAGAAACCTGGCTGGTCTCCTGGCATGAACTGATGTGGACAACACTTCCTTTGCTTTAGCTCTGTGGTAGCCACCAAGTTTTTTTTTTAATGACCAATAGTCACAATTTTCTTGATTTTTGCATATTGCTTAGTTAAATTTGCTGCCAACTGCTTTTTTAGTCACAGACTAATGATAACTATCAGGGGCAGCTAGGTGGCATGGTGGATAGATTATTGGGCTTGGAGACATGGATAAGCTGTGTGACCCTGAGCAAGTTACTTAACCCTGCTTGCCTCAGTTTCCTCATCTGTAAGATAAGCTGGAGAAGGAAATGGTAAACTACTCCAGTATCTTTACCAAGAAAACCCCCAGTGGGGTCATGAAGAGTCAGACACAACTGACAACAACTGAACAACAACAAATGATAACTGAACTAGCAGTTGGTTTGTTTGACTCTGTTTTAGTAAGTAACTTGTGCTACTTCAGCACAGTGGCTTGGGAACAGAATAGTTTCCTGCTTCTCTGATGGATTGATACGTTCACATTCCTGCTCTGCAGCTTCACACCTGTAATAACCTTTGAGCCACATTCTCTGTGATTGCCAAGCTTTCTAGGACTTGTTTGTTCAGCATATGTGTGCATATTGTCCCATCAGTTAACAAACAGAACCTATGCTGTTTCCAAGACTTATTTTTAAGTTCTTGTTTGTTTGCCAAAGACTTCACCCTAAAGCCAACTTTGATTTGTGAGCTTTTCTCTTTGATATCTGCAGAAAAATAATATGTTAAATCCATTATATTAACATAGTTGCTTATGAATGTGATTACTCAGTGTGAGCAGATGTCCTATGTTAAAGAGAGTACATAAACTCAATCATTAAATTTGCTCATTAAATAGAATTAAGTGGCCAAATTTTACTTTAAGAAGAAGCCCCCAAAAGTGAGTATAATTGCAGAATCACAGTCATAAAAGTTCTCAGAAACTAGCCTGTCTTTCCTGAACTTAAATAAGAACCTTGTCTTTAGCATACCCAACTAGTAATCATCCAGCTTTTGCTTGGAGACCTGGAGTGATGGATGGGGAATGCAACTGTTTCCTCAAGCAGTCCATCCCACTTTGGGATAGCTCTAATTGTTGGGACATTGTTTTTTTTTAATTTTGCAAAAAAGTCCAAGCCTGCCTCTCTATCATTTCTACTTGTTTCCACTAATTCTGTCCTCTGGGGCTGAGCAGAACAATCTAGTGCTTCTTCTATCCTCTTTTTTTTAGCGACTTCATCAACTCCCATGAGTTTAATTATCATCTCTGTACAAATGAATCCCAGATGGGTAGACCCAGGGTCCTAGTTTCTCACCTGAACTCAATTGCCCCCAAAATGCCTTTTGGACATTTCTAATTGGATACCCTGTAAGCATCTAAAATTCTCAACATGTCCAAAACATAACTTTTTTTTTTCATCACAAATCTACACCTCTTCCTAATGTCCCTATTTTTGTTGAGAGCATTACCATTCTTGTAGTCATCTAGGTTAACAATTTCAGAGTCATCCTTCACTTCTGTCTTTCTCTTACTGTCCCTTGAGTTACTGTCTATATCTTGCTTGTAGTTTCTGCCTTCACAAGTCCGGAATCTGCACCTTTCTCTCTCTTCACACAACTGCCCTCTTAGTTCTGGCCTTCACTACTTCTTGCCTGAACTATTTCTGTAACCTCCTAATTGATCTTCCTTCTTCAAGTCTTTCCCCTCCCCAGTCCATCCTCCACACAGCTGCCAGAGTGATGTTCCTAGAGCACAAATCTGACTGCACCACTTCTCTACTCTGAGGCCCCAGTGGCTCTCTCTTGCCTTTAGGATCAAACACAGACTCCTCTATCTGGCATTTAAAGCCCTTCACATCTTAGCTCCAACCTACCTATCCATATTTATTATACATTTCTCCCTTTCCTGGAATCTGCGGTTTAGCCAAGCTGGCCTTCTTCACGTTCCTCATGAGTGACATTCTATCTCCTGTCTCTGACCTGTGCTTGGGATAACCCTCCTCCTTACCTCTGTCCCTTAGAATCTCTGGCTTACTTCAAAGCTCAGCTTAGCCCTTTCATGACACCCTAACACCCTCACCAACCTTCACCATTCTGAAATGCCCTTCTATTTCCTTTTAATTCACTTAGTATCTTTTATAGGGGGCAGCTAGGTAGCACAGTGGACAGAGCACTGGCCCTGGAGTCAGGAGGACCTGAGTTCAAATCTGCCCTAGACACTTATTAGCTGTGTGGCCCTGGGTAAATCACTTAACGCTATTTGCTTCAGTTTCTCTTCTGTAAAATGAGCTGGAGAAGGAAATGACAAACCACTCCAATATTTTTGCCAATCAAACCTCAAATGGGGTCACAGAGAGTCTGACATGACTGAAACAACTCAATAATGACAACAAAATCTTCTATGTGTAGAAGTCATTTTCCCTGGCAAAACGTAAGCACTTTGAGGTTGGTGATGGTTTTGTTTATTATATGTTTGAATCCTCAGCTCACCAAGTACAGTGCCTGATGCATAGTAGGTACTTAATAAATGCTTGTTGACTGACAAGAGGATTTCTAAAGGTACTTTCCAGCTTTGCCTTTGAGTGGCTAGGAAGCCCTTCTAAGATTGTATATAGCCTTTCTTACATTGATAATTTAAATTATGCTATTATTTTGGTTTCAACATGGCTTTTATTCTTTGCAATACTTATCTCTATCCATGGATTTCACCCTTTTTCTTTCCATGACCTCTTTTGGCATCTTAACACTGAGCCTGTTTCACAAATTACAACCAAATTCCCCTTGTGGTTTATTCCCCATCCCCACCCCACGCATCTTAAATCTGGAGCTTCTTCATCTTCACTGAGCTCCAGGGTATGGCTAGATTTTTACACTGGCTCCTTTCACTTGCAATCCTTTTGCACACATTATTCTTTGTTTCTTTTTATGTTCATTCCTACTCATTTTTAGAGAACACGACAACTAGATATTATCCAAAACCAACTGGAAAGTCATTGTGTTTTTAAAGGACTAGATTACTGGTGCAAATGTAAAGGTTAGTTAGCTACAATAAAAAAAAATAATGATAACCCTTAGGGATTTGGGAGGCATTCAGACTCACAAATCAGAAACTGACCCTGTTCCCCCTTTGGCTGAGGTTTGTTAATGCCGCCATTCTTGAAGACTGGCTAACAAGGGGGTGGGGTGGGGAAAGAACACTCATTTATTAATGTACTGTACTAAATGCTTTATAAAGATCTTATTTGATCCTCACGACAAACCTGTGAAGAGTGAATAAGCATTTATTAAGTGCTTCTCTGTGCTAGTATGCTAAGCACTTAACAACTATTATCTTGTTTGATTGTCATAATAACCATACAAGGTAGGTGCTATTATACTTCCATTTTACAGTTGAGAAAACTGAACAGAGAGGTCAAGAGACTTACCTGGGCTCACACAGCTAACAAGTGTCTAAGGCTAGATTTGAACTTAGGTCTTCCTAACTCCAGGCCAAGCGCTCTCCACTGAGACACCTAACTGCCTATATAACAATTACAATGTTTCAGAATAACCCTAAAATTCCTCCCCTTCCACCTCCCCACCCCTTATTTGAAGCCAGGCAGGCCCTTGCAAGCAAGGCAGTTACTGCTGGTGAGCATCAACTTGTAATTCCCGAGAAGTATTATGGCAACAAATGCTGGCAACTGAGAAGTTAGCAGTCAATCAAACAAGTTTTTTATTAAGTGCCTACTGTATGCTAGGAACTACACTGGTCCTGGGGAAACAAGGAGAAAAACCAAACAGTCCCTGCCCTCAAGGAGCTTACATTATATTGCAGTTTGTTTTTAGAACTTACAGTGCCTCTCCTATTTCACATTAATTTCAAAGATGTTTGCCCTTTTTAAAGTAAAAAATGTCCTTAGTGATAGTAAATGTTGTTGAGGGTCTGAAAGCTAAGGTGGCTCAAAAAACATAGAGGTAGAAATCTTTTCTATTGTAAATATTTTTTCAGGTATTGATTTTATACTATAAATGTGCTTCCAACCTAAATGGTTAGGACATCCTGGTTATTTCTAAAATATATTCACTTAAACAATTGCTAACTGGAGGAATCAATACATTGCTTTTCTTTTGATACTGAAGCGACTGACAAATATTCATTCAGGTAGTTCTGCACTTGATTTATTCATACATGTGTGTGTTTGGCAGGGCAGTGGGTCTATAGCAGGGTCTAAACTCATGGGCTACAAACTTTTAAGCTGTTCTTTTTTAAGATTTGGATGTATCTATGTAAACATTGTTTCTAGTACCTCTTCCCTGTGGCAATAACTCTTTTAAGTTATTAAATAATTTTAATGTAGTCCTGTTCAAAATGCTGTTGTTAGTGGTCTAAAAACTGCATGTGAAAAAATTTGGAACTAGAGGTTAAGCTAGTTACTAAGATTTAATTATAGAGGTGTCATGACGTTGGAAAGAACCTTGGACTTTGAATCATGAAACCTGGTTAAAGAACTGGTTTTGCCACTTAATAGTTGTGTGACCTTGGGCACGTTGTTTCACTTCTTAGGAGTGAAATACCATTAGCACTTTGAAAACTTTAAAGTCCTATGTAAGTATCAGTTATTATTTTCATTATATAGCCATTATAAAAAGAAATGCAAGTTTTGTATAGCAAATTAGTGAAATTATGAAGGAAGAGTGAAGACTGCTGTATAGACTCCAGCCCCTGGGTTTTTGGGATTTGAGAATATATTCAAAATAATAATGATAACAACAGTACAATAATAATAGCTAATGTTTATAAAGCACTTACTAAGTGTCAGGCACTGTGCTAGGAGCTTTATAATTATTACCTTATTTGCTCCTCATAACAACCCTGTGAGGTGGGTGCTATTACTATCCCCATTTTACAGGTGAGGAAACTGAGGGAAACAGGTTAAGTGACTTCCTAGGGTCACAAAGCTAGTAAGTGTCTATGGCCTGATTTGAGCTCAGGTCTTCCTAATTATAGCTAGCATTTATACAGCACTTTAAGGTTTGCAGAGTCCTTTTCATGTGTTATTTCATTTGATCCTTCCACTAACCCTGTGAGATAAATACTATAGTTGTCTCCATTTTACCGATAGGAAACTCAGGCTGAGAGAGGTTAAGTGACTTGCCCAGAGTCACACAGTTATGTGAGATAAGATTCAAACATCGGTCTTCCTGATTCCAAGTCCTCACTTTCTGACTCTATCCCCCGATCAATCTAAAAAACATTAATAATGGAGTTTTGTAATTATTATGTTTTATACTGCCATTGCCTTAATGCTCTATAGGTTTTCTTAGCAATATGAAGAAGAGATTTATTGATTGATCCTAGAGAAAGACTTCATTTATTGAAAAGCTTTTTGGCAGGAGTATTAGAATAGAGGCCTAATGGACTCCAAAGAGGAAACATTGATAAGTTATGCCATTTGTTTAACTTTTGAGATTTTGTCCAGCAAGTTGTTCAATGCTACTTTTTTATCTGACAGGGTCGAGATGCCTTGGAATGGGTGATCAGCAGACTTAATACAGAATTTGAGGAACTGGTAGCACCACCTTGACAGAGCACGTAACATAAGCAGCAACAGCAGCAGCAGCCTCAAGATATCCAGGCAATGTGGAACATGCAGAAGCCATGCAAATAGGGCGAGGGTGGGTTTTTCCCTACCTAGTGCTATCTTGGACTGATAGGCAGTTTTCGGCTCTGCTTGGTTCATCAGACCATCAGCTATTAATACACACCAAAAAATGACAGTGAGTTGAATTAGGAATTAATTATAAAGGAGGCTGTGAATTAACTATGTGATGGCTTTTGGTGGGGGTTGCAGGGAGGGTCATTGTGTTTTCTGAGAAAAATTAATCTTTTTCACCAAGTGAGTAAATGTAAATCTTTGACCTTTTATTTTTCCCCAGAGAGTGGAAATACTATTAGTGAGGAGCTATGAAGTTGAAATTCAGATTTCAAAAACTGTGGCCAAAAAAGACACATTCTCTGTTATTCCCAAAGTTAGAAAGTGAGAAAGAGTATAATTTGCTCATATTGTAACACAATAGTTCATTAAAGTATCCATTTAGATCTTTAAAATTCACTGCAAACATAGACAGAAATGCTTCCCTTGACTAACTGAGAAAAAAAAGTTGTTTCAATGAGTGAGAGCAGGGGTTTTTAACTTTGTTGTGTCCCAGACCCTTTTGGCAGTCTGATAAAGCCTATGGAGCCCTTTTCAGAAGAAGAATGTTTTTAATGCGTCAAATAAAATATTTAGGATTACAAAGGAAACCAATTATTTTGAAATACATTTCTCAAAAACATTTTTTTTTTTGAAGTTCATGAACTCCAGGTTAAGAACACTTGGACTTGAGGAGCATTGGCAAAGCACAACTGAACACTGCTGCAGATAGGCTGTATTATTGTAAGGTCTCTGCACCCCTTAGATGGAACACATCTACCAGTCAGTGCTTACTGTTCTTCCGTGAACCTGCATCCATGTTGCATATACAGTGACATCCCCCCACCCTAGTAGATTTTATTGCCTCACCCTAAAAGCAGGATTTAGGGGAAATTTAAGAGGTAGGTCTACTCTTGGCTATAATTACATAATTAATAACTTGAATAACAAATCCTTATTTTAAGCTAGTATTTGGAAATAGGAATGGGAATATATTTTCCTAATTTATGTTCTTTGTAACTAATAATGACAAACTAAATTGTTTGAGTTACTTTAAGGAGACATGGACTATTTTACTAACATATTCTTTGCTTTGGGTGTCATGTCTGACTCTTCAGTACCCCATTTGGGGTTTTCTTGGTAGAAATACTGGAAGGGTTTGCTATTTTCTTCTCCAGATCATTTTACAGATGAGGAAACTGAGGCAAACTGAGTTAAGTGACTTGCACAGGGTCATATGGCTAGTAAATGTCTGAGGCCAGATTTGAACTCAGGTCTTCCTGATTCCAGGCCCAGTGCCGTATATACACTGTGCCACATAGCTGCCCTGGTCTCCCTCTAGGCAACTTAATAACCCCATGTTTTTGAAGGCTCACCATATCAATAACAAATTTAGTGCAGATACTCGGTAGGCATAGCCTACTGTAGTTCAGAACTCCTAAGCTCAGCAGATCTGCCAGCCTCAGTATCCCTGGTGGCTGGGATTACAGGCATGTGTCACCATGTTTGGTGTCATGTTTCTTTCCAAACATAGAATATAGGCACATATATTTCTGTCTGAGGTGCATGGGGTCCCCCCCCCAAAACAACAACCCAACAACATACGTAGAAACATGTTTCAAAAACCTAGAAGTGATTTTGATGGACCTGGTGCCAGGTAGATATGGGTTTGAATCCTGTCATAGACACTTATTAGCTCTTTTACCCTGGGAAAGTTAGTCAACCCTCTGAGGTTCAGTTGCCTTACCTATAAGATGGGAATAACAATAGCATCTACCTCATAGCCTGTTGCAAAGATTACATGAGATATTTAGATATGTGTGTGTATACACATTTGTGTATACACACATATGTATGTATGTATATATGTATATACATATGTGTGTGTATTTTATAAACCTGAAAGCATTTATATATACATATGTTTATATAGTTATTATTATTATTCCACCCATTGCACCTAGTTTTGCCCTCTGGGGCCAAGGAAAAAAATCTAATTCTTCTTCTACATGACAGCCCCTGAAACACTTAAAGGCAACTATCATGCCTTCATTTAAGTTTTCCTATCTCTGGGCTAACAGCCCTAGATCTATCAACCAAACCCTCATATGGCATGTGTGTGTGAGTGTGTATACATACACACACATATTTACCATCTTCCACGTGATCTCCAGTTTATCAGCGTCCTTCCTAAAATGTGGAGCCCTAAATGGAACATAGTATTCCAGATATATTCTGGCTAGGGCCATTATCTCCCTACTCCTGAAATGTGTGCATTTCTTATTGTGACACATGATTACATTCACTTTCCTGGCTACTACATCACGTTGTTGATAAATTTTGACTTTGCCATATGCTAAAACCTCAGATCTTTTGTTGATGAGTTTTTATCTTAGTCATGCCTCCTCCATCTTATACCTGTGAATTTGGCTTTTTTTTTTTTTAGCCTAAGTACAAATCTATATCTTTGTCCTTATTCAATTTTATCTTTTTAGATTCAGGGATTCAGTTCAAAGTTTTAGACTGCCAAGATCTTTGGAGATCCTGACTCTCTTATCCAGTGTGTTAGTTATTCTTTTCAGTTTTTTCTTACCTTAAAATTTGATAAGCTTTCCATCTATGCCTGTATCTAAGTTGGTGATTAAAATGTCAACCCACAAAAAAAAAAATCCACCCACAGATAGATCTCAGTGCCTTCCACTTCAGTAGAGACCTCCCCCTGGTCTCCATTGACTCATTTGTGGCTACTCTTTGGAAACTTTTATACAAAGCACTGTTTCTAGACATCACAAGAAGTATGCAAGAAGTTTAAACATTAATTTTGCTGTCTAAAAACTTTGATTAAGTGGGGATATAGAAAAGCCATAGAACAATTAATTTTTTTTTTTTTTGCTTTTTGGTGAGGCAATCAGGGTTAAGTGACTTGCCCAGGGTTACACAGCTAGTAAGTCATGGATCTGAGGCCGGATTTGAACTCAGGTCCTCCTGACTCCAGGGCCGGTGCTCTCTCCACTGCACCACCTAGCTGCCCCTCAATTATATTTTTTAAGAACAATGTATGAATAGTCATAAATTAGAATTTAAACTATATAAATGCTAAGGATCTCATAAGGAGGAGAAATATGGAATAGATGAACTGAGTTTTATGCCAGGCATTGAGAAAGAGGGTCAGATATGGATTAGTGGAAGGAAAGGTATTTATAACCTAATGTAAAAATATCCCTTCATTCTAGTAAATAGTTCTTAAGTTGCTAATTTAAAATTTTTTCTACTGGTTGTAAAATGGTATTTTTAATGCAATATCCACAAGGAATGACTGTATACTCTAAAATTTGAAATTATTAAAAACCAAAGAACAGTTGGTTTAGTATAGTCCAGAGCTGAACTTCAGATTGTTTACTACTGTGCTCTGTCTTAGATATGAATTACAGCTGATGAAATCTTCCATATCATTTTCTTTATGCAAACAGCTTTGAATTTCAGTTAGGAGGAGTGAATTTAATTGTATTTGGAATCCTATTTGGACCTCATTGGCCATATTGAGACCTAAGACTTTGTATCAAAAATTTCTTGGAGGATAACTCTCCTTACAGTAGAAGAGATGCCAGTGTTGGGGAACTACTACAGAATTTTGAAATTTGAAAGTCCTTTGGGGAGATTGTTTGAATTATTCTGATTTTGAAGCAGTGAAAACACTACCTGTAGTAGTTTTGGGTTTCTGTTTCATTTTCTTGGTGGTGGTGGCGGTGGCAGTGGCTAGATAGAAGGTAGGGATATGAGTGGACTACACCAAAACCCTGATTACCCAATCAGTGAACCCTGATGAGCAAAAATGAAAGGCTGGCATTGTAGAATGGACTTTTAAACTCCCACTGCCCATGAGGGTGAAATCCAAATTGATTTGGGAGGTTCTGGGGCAGAATACACTATTCTCTTGGGGCCAGGAAGGAGTCAATTGCTGTGCCTTGTGGTCATAGGACGAGTTAGGCCTGGGGAATTATAACTAGATGGAATAGTCTAGGAAATTTAAGTATCATTTCTAGTCTGAGTTTAGGTAGTTTTCTTTTGTGTGTTCTATGCCTTTGTTGCCTATAAATTCCATGAGGAAAGGGACTACGTAGTGGCTAAATTGTTAGTTGCTCAAGGGCATGGATTAGATTTCCAACTTTTTTGTGCGACCAACATTGGGTACATAGTGGGCATTTAGATACATGATGAATGAATAGTCAAATTATATTAGCAACTCACTGGAAAGGATAAGTTTTAATTTAATCATTAATAGCTTCGTAACAACTTAGAATCTCTGATTATCATCAGAAAATGTCTTCATATATGTCATACTTTTATTGACCATATTGTCTTCAAAATGAAGTAAATATAATATCAAATGCTAGTTTAATTGCCTTTTAAATATTCCCCTTATTTGGTGTATGTACCCTAATCTAACTTTTGTGGCCATGTTAAGTACTGCCTTTATATAGACAACCTAAAAATATATTAGTTCAATAACCTAAAGAATATTTTGAGCATTTACATAGTTGACTCAACTCATAGTTTCCAAAGGGTTTTTAGAGTCTAATTGTTGGTTTACAAATTGAGATAAATTATTCAGAGAGGAAGAGACATATATGGTAACTCAGCAGTGAAATGTTAGAAATGGAGCACAATCTCAGAAGACTGATGATTGTGATCTTTAAGAGTTATATACGAAACAATATCCAAGTAGTAGACATTATTAGGTCGTAATTCCTGAAGGTGCTGATGGGATGAACCCCTGAACCAAGCAACTTTAGAATGCAACTCTGACGTGCATATATACATTTATGTATGTTTGTATGCGTGTATATATATATATATATATGTCTATGTGTATGTATGTGTGTATACACATA